CACTTGGAAAGTTTCAAACCCTCATTGAACCTTTTATAATACTGTTTCCCAGCCGTATCAGCTTTTGATTGGTTTTGTTTTGCCATGTGAATGGTGCAGAGAAAACCTGAAGGGACTGCACCTCAGGCTGCTGCTGCTCCTTGTGTCAAGACTATGTGTGAACATCCGTTTATAAGTGCCCTAACTTGAAACACTTTACTTTTTAACAGGTTAAGTTATTTACTGCATGGAGATAGTCTATGCTGTCATGTACTGTAGTGCAGGATTTTCTCTATGACACATCTATATGTCTCGAGACGTCTATCACTTCCCATGAACATTCACAACAAAGCATCACCTATTTCTCTTCATCTCTCCTACTCCCCTTCCACTACAGCCTTTGTACACATTAAGATTGTTGTTTCTGTGTAAACAGGAGCCAGTGATGTTTTACTTCTTTTTATTACCTTGTAATATCTCTTCTTCTCCCCCACATCCTTTCTCAACGCTGAGCCTGCCTAACTTTAAAAATGAACCCCTTGTAGTCTCAGACCTGGTCATCACACACACAGACATTTCAGCTGATGAATGTTTAGCATTAGAGATTGATAACTGACCCTCTTAAAAGCAAAGTTTCTGCTTTTTTCTCTCTCTCCTCTGACCATTGCAGGCCAAAATGACCAATCAGACATAGACACAGACACAGACACAGACATAGACATAGAGACAGACACAGACATAGACATAGACATAGACATAGAGACACAGACATAGACATAGATACAGACATAGACATAGACATAGACACAGACATAGACATAGTCACAGACACAGACAGACACAGACACAGACATAGACACAGACACAGACATAGACATAGACATAGACACAGACATAGACATAGATACAGACATAGACATAGACACAGACATAGACACAGACATAGACATAGACACAGACACAGACATAGACATAGATACAGACACAGACATAGACACAGACATAGACATAGATACAGACATAGACATAGTCACAGACACAGACATAGACACAGACACAGACATAGACACAGACACAGACATAGACATAGACATAGATACAGACAGACATAGACATAGACATAGATACAGACAGACATAGACATAGACATAGACATAGACATAGACATAGACATAGACACAGACAGACATAGACATAGACACAGACACAGACAGAAACGCAGGCACAGACATATAGACACAGACACAGACATAGACATAGACATAGACACAGACATAGACATAGTCACAGACACAGACATAGACACAGACACAGACATAGACACAGACACAGACATAGACATAGACATAGATACAGACAGACATAGACATAGACATAGATACAGACAGACATAGACATAGACATAGACATAGACATAGACATAGACACAGACAGACATAGACATAGACACAGACACAGACACAGACAGAAACACAGGCACAGACATATAGACACAGACACAGACATAGACATAGATACAGACATAGACATAGACATAGACACAGACATAGACATAGACATAGACATAGATACAGACAGACATAGACATAGACATAGATACAGACAGACATAGACATAGACATAGATACAGACAGACATAGACATAGACATAGACAGACATAGACATAGACACAGACAGGCATAGACATAGACATAGACATAGACATAGACACAGACAGACATAGACATAGACATAGACATAGACATAGACATAGACACAGACAGACATAGACATAGACACAGACACAGACACAGACAGAAACACAGGCACAGACATATAGACACAGACACAGACATAGACATAGATACAGACATAGACATAGACATAGACAGACATAGACATAGACACAGACACAGACACAGACAGAAACACAGGCACAGACATATAGACACAGACACAGACATAGACATAGATACAGACATAGACATAGACATAGACAGACATAGACATAGACAGAGACACAGACACAGACAGAAACACAGGCACAGACATATAGACACAGACACAGACATAGACATAGATACAGACATAGACATAGACAGACACAGACATAGACATAGACATAGATACAGACAGACATAGACATAGACATAGATACAGACAGACATAGACATAGACATAGATACAGACATAGACATAGACATAGACATAGACAGACATAGGCATAGATACAGACAGACATAGACATAGACACAGACAGAGACACAGACACAGACACAGACACAGACATGGACATAGATACAGACATAGACATAGATACAGACACAGACATAGATACAGACACAGACACAGGCACACAGACACAGACGCATAGACATAGACAGATACAGACATAGACATAGATACAGACAGACATATAGACACAGACACAGACACAGACACACAGACACAGACACAGACACACAGACACTGACACAGACATAGACATATAGACACAGACACACATAGACATGGGCACACACACGTTCACATCCACATTTACTCTAGGTTATACGGCAGAAGATTCAAATGCAATGCATATCCTCAATGCCTGGAGAAGAGGAGATGCATTATTCAGTGGAACTAACTACCGCACAGTCTTACTACAGAGTAATTAGTAGCATAACTGTGGGGCATGAAGGAAAAAAGGCCTTGAAAGAGCTACAAAGGTTCAAAAAGCTGACTAAGTATATTCCTTGTTATGAGTAAAACATAAGCTGCCAGGTGTGGCTTCTAACTTAAATCATAAGAATTATTTATAGCTGGAATTTTCCCCAACAGCAATGACTGCAAGTGATTAATTCATACAGAAAGCTAAGGTAATTATGAATTACTGCAAATTAAACTCCAAGCACTAAAAATGAATGTAAATCTTAAAGAGAGACAGGTTTAAAAGGGATTATTTTCCCCAAAGAAGCCAGCAAGGTAGTGCACTTTTCAGCCTGGATGGTGAGAACCAGAAGTGATTTTTTTCTGAATATCATCATTTAAGGAACCTGTAGGCAAACCACCAAATGTCACTTCTCCCTGGTGCTTGTAATGACATTGTGCCACTTCCCAGGACAGCATTCAGGACATCCTGCCACAGAGGAATTTCAGCTGAGGTCAGAATTTGGACTGCTGTTAAGTACTATTCTCCAACATCTGTTCCAGACCGGCCATCATCTGCAGTATCACTGCCTGTGGCTTTATGGCTATTTTATTTATCTGCATAACTCACTTGGCTACACAGGCTCTGTGGCACCACAGAGGTGATTCAGGGGATGCTTCCATTCAGTCTGCCAAAGCCTAAGAGTCAGATACCACATTAAAACATCTTTATTCATCACTAACTTTACGATAATCCGTGCCTTTAGGCTCATGCCCTAATGGTGTTAGGGGTGCTTCACTCAGGAGGATTTATAAGTCCTCAGAATTTTGATTCCTAAATTACTATATGTTTCTGGAACTCATTTCAGAGTTTATAATTACTTCTTATTAAGAATTTATAAAATGATAATATTATTAACTCTGGGTATTGTAAGCACTTTGAAGGATACTTTAAGGGCCTACTTTAAAGTGCATACTTTAAAGGATAGTTAAAGCAAAAGGCAGAGACTTAACAAAAGAGGTGGAGCTGACCAGCATTTTCCAAAGCATGAAATTTTGCTCTACTGTTCTGTTGAAAGCTCAAATAACACCTGGAAAAAAACCTCCCGTGGCTTTTCTTCCCTCCTTTTTGACCAATCTTATTTAAAAAATCATATCAGAGTAAGAAGTTCCATAGGAAAACCAAATCCTTGACAGTTTCCCTGCAGTAATTGCTGATTTGATGGGGTCCTATTCCTTTTCTGCTTGTTCTGCAGTGACATAAGCATTACTAATTAAATAAATATAAGTGAAGGAATCAGTATCTGCCTGAACAGTTTACATCCACAGAGCAGCAAACCTCACAGGTTCCTAACCTGCTCACTTCCTAGAGGTAACCACAATTTCATCAGCTGGATTAGTAAAGCAATGGCATCTGTGCACAAGTAAGCATCTTTACATGTAAATAAAGGTATTCAAATACTTTCATGCTTATCTGTCCTAAGAGTGCAGGCATTGTTTGCATATATATTTCGGGATTATCTGTCAAACAATCAATTGGCTGAAGGCAAGAGAAACCAGGACAGCAGAAAAGAGTGATGTGAAGTCCAGCAAAGTGGCCTGATGCTGCCAGTGAACATCAGTTCTGCAGTGATAGATGGATGAAGAGAAACATTCTATAAGAAAATAATGAAAGGGGAGGTAAGGAGAAGGGGAATGTTCCCTTGTCGCATACATAATAGAGAGAGAAGAAAGTTGCTACTACAATCACGTCCCTCATCAGAAATGTCTGGGAAAGACAAGCCATTTATAAGTCTTCATTGAAGAATCAAGGGGCTTGGAGCAACCTGCTCTAGTGGAAGGTATCCCTGCCCATGGCAGGGGGTTGGAACTGGATGAGCTTTAAAGCCCCTTCCAACCCAAACCACTCCACGATTCTGTGATGCTGTGATTATAAACTGGTTAACATACACAGCAGGGAATGTAGTTAAAGAAACATATGATGTGCTTCAGCTTCACTCTGATGTTTGGTTCTGGGACGATTAAAGTCATTAAGAGACTTCCCTCCCATCTAGCGGGCTATACCAAAAGTGAAGCCCAGTGGAGACAGTGAAGTAAAGAACAGCTCACAAAGTTCAGTCCCAGGTGACTAAAAGCAAGTGGTATTTTATGTGATATGAAAGAAAACATTTTAATAAAACGCAAATCTCAGTTAAAAGGTGCTTTTTGAGCAGTTCAACACAGTTAATCTCTTTTCTAACCTGGATTGAGAAGAAAAGAAACTCATGATGATGAGGACAGAGTGTCAGAGGCTGGGTACAACACTAGGACTTCGGCGCAGGCAAGAAAGATGAGCGATTTAAGTGCCAAACGGTGCAAATGCCTTCTTCTCGGAAAAGCATCACTCAGTGGCACTATTTCACTTCGGCTCGCCAGCAGGGCACACTGCTCGCGTGTTTAAGCGTCTGAAGAAGGACTTTCCCCCTCTGTCAGCGGCCCCCAGCCACAGCCCGCTGCTTGCCCCGCAGCATCGCTGCCGAGGAGGGGAGGGAGCAGGAGAGACCCCCCCCTGCACCTCTTCCAGCGCTCCCCGGGCTCACACAGGGATCAGAGGTGCCGCCTCCTCCCCTTCCTCCTCCTCCTCCTCTTCCTCCCCGCTCCTGCCCTGCTCGCAGCGTTCGGCTGGACGGGGACCTGCGCCGGGCGCGGTGCGGAGCGGGGCTCCTGCTCCCCCGAGCCACCCGCACCGCGGAGCTGCCGGCGGGGTCCCCCTTCCACGGTCCCCCCGGACCCTGAAGGCCTTTGTCTGCAGGCAGCCGGAGCTGCTGCACCATGGCTTGGGGCGAGCTCAGCCTCCTCCGGTGGCTCCGGGAGAGCCGGCAGTCCAGGAAACTCATCCTGCTCATCGTGTTCATCGCCCTGCTGCTGGACAACATGCTGCTTACGGTAGTCGGTAGGTAGGAAGGGTTTGGGTTGTTTGCTTTTATTTTTCTCCCCTTCGGATTATGCCAGAAATAATCTCCAGTGACAGATGTATACCCCGCATGCATGATTAATGCTCCCAAACCAAACATTTCCAAGCACTGATTGGTTTTTTTTTAAAGCACGAATTACATTCTGTGTATTGCAAACACTGTCACACACCAAAGTCTGGCTTTATTTCCCTATTAATTGCAGAATAATGAATGCTGTACAAAAGGTCTTCGTAATTCTTTTCCTTCCTACTAAATGCCACTAATACTTCAGGGAACAACAGATAACAGTATTTTTAGCCCATCATCGTTTTTTCTCCTGTGGTCATGCAACTGAAACAACAGGCTAGATAACACTGGAGATGCCTGCTTCCTTGAGATAGTTTCTCTTCCCCCCCAACTTTGGTCTTTAAATGAGAGGTTAATAAGAAAACTATCGAGCTGGGGTTTAAGCAAAGCACTTCTGTGAGTTGGTTTAATAGAATACTCCCAGTTTTGGTCAAAGTTGAAAATGCAACTTTTACTGGTTTCGGTGTCATGGCATCAATAATCTAGCCAAATTAAGTGCTTGAATATTCTTCACTGTTGTTATTTTAGATGTCCTCATATTCCAGTGTTTATGTGAATTTAAGGAAAAGGGCTCAGAGAAACTAGTAGTTCATGGATGCACACATGCACACATGGATGCACATGTGTCTCTCAGAAGTGGATGGGGCTGTGCAGAGCCAGCTCTCAGGCTATGCTGCACTGTCAGCTTCTGAACCAGACTCCTGGATTTCTTGAGGGACTTCAGCTGAAAAGCTGATGCCATAAACAGACCTTGGCTAAAAACATACATATTTGTAGCAAGTCGATCTTTGATTTTTTCCTATATGAATATACTTTCTCCTAAGTTATTAACATTGGTGCGAGGTCTCCCTGGCTATGGCAGGGGGGTTGGAACTGGATGATCTTAAGGTCCTTTCCAACCCTAACTATTCTATGATGCTATGGTTCTGTGGTTTACTCACTCAGTAATATGCATGCTACAAGCCCTAGAAATTACTAGGGTAATTATTACTAGAAATTACAGTTTGCAGACCTACTGAAAGAGACTTTTCCAGGAAGTTATAAGACAAGGAGGGTAGATTCTGTCATTAACCTTAAACCGAATGAACCTGACATCTGTTTTTACAAATTCTAAAATGCTAATTCCTGAGTGCAGGAATGCAATTAAATTGCAGCTAAGTTCCTAAAGCGTATAGAGAAGGTCCCTTCTGGATGATCTTTTCAATGCAGACTTTTATATATAATGAGATATGCAAATATCAGCACACTAAATGTGATTAATTAATATAAGAGTGTTACATTTTTTCCTTCTTATGGCTGTTACTTATCAATATGTTTGTGATATATTTTAGAAATGTGGCTTCTTACACTTTTTTCTATTTTGGTTTATAACAGTTTCAATGCTTTTCTCATCTTTCCTGCTTTTACAAGCTATTAAATGGATTTGTGCAGTCATGTGCAACAAAGAGACTCTTCAAGCAGGTTTTGATACTTGTTACACTTTGCTTCTTGAATGATGCCTGTACAGAAAATCTTATGTTTATGAAAACTGACAAAAAATAAAGATTCATATCAAAGAACTTATTTTAAACTGCACTTCAGAGTTACAGATGTGTTTTTTCCCATGAGCAAACTTCTGTTTCAGTTCTGTGTTTCCACCATTCATAATCCTTACTAATGTGCTCTGTAGGAAAGCCTTGTGTTTCCTAATAAATGGCAAAGCAAACAAGAAAAGCTGGTGATTCCCTTTACAAATAACCTGATAATAAGATGCCAATGTATTCTATTTGTTTTTCCAGTGCCAATAATTCCCAGTTACCTTTACAGCATCAAACATGAGAAAAATGCCTCAGAAATCCAGACTACTAAACCTAGTGTAGTCTCAACAACGACGGACAATTTTCAGAGCATCTTCTCCTACTATGACAACTCAACGATGGTCATTGGAAATGAATCTGATAAGACACAACCCAGAGAGCTGCATCCTACTCAGACAGAACAAATGATAGTAAATGTGACTCCTTCCCCATCTGATTGCCCGAAGGAAGATAAGGACCTGCTGAATGAAAATGTGCAAGTTGGTCTCTTGTTTGCTTCAAAAGCAACAGTGCAGCTAATCACTAATCCCTTTATAGGGCCGCTGACGAACAGGTATGTCATTTCTGCTGTGTTACTCAGTTAGGACTTTATATTGATGTTTTAGTCTGGGTTACTACTTCAAACAAAGTGTTTTTAATTCTATTGTGGCCTTGGCTTAGCGGCCTTCACACTTACCTGGAGGAATATTTTAGTGAAATAAGTTTGATGAACACTCCCTAACACCTACGTCCTTTCCCAAATCAATTAGTAAACCACACATGAGCCATCTGATACATTCAGTATCAAACATTTTTCCTCCAGCTCCTGAGACCTCAGGTTTTTACAGAAACCTTTGCTGAAGTAGTGTAGAAACGTCTTTAATGCAGTTACACGGGGTCAAAAGACACTACAACATAGTAGTTATGAAGCACTGTGAATTGATGATATATCTGTTACACCTACATTAGTCAAACATGATATGGAAACTATAGGCAGGATTCACATCCCACATTCCAGTTAGAACTGGACGAGCTTTAAGGTCCCTTCCAACCCAGACCATTCTGTGATTCTATGAGACAGAGAGTCTCATTTCTCTCTCATTTCACCTTATCTTCTACTGCATACTACCTACATAGATACAAGTACACCACCGCAAAACTGCCTTTTCACAAACATTGCTGCAAGTTGAGGAGGAAAACAGATTTTTGTTACCTGGAATTTCTGTATTGTTTTGTGAAGATATGATGGCTCGTCTATAGGCAAAGTAACATGAGTTATCGAGGAGTATTTTCTTAATAGTTCTTTAGGTATTCTTCTTACTTACTTTTCAGTATCATCATTTCCACAACCTGCCAAACCGGGAGAAAGGCAATAATATTCTCCATGTTGTTGATGACTTTCAACAGTGCAGTTACATCATACTGTAGATATGATCACTCTTTCTTTGGTAGACATCTGCCTAAGTAAGACGGTGCATGTCCCTGCCGATGCCTCTCTGTGCACCTGAGCATCTTAGGACTGGAGCTTGGTGTGGCCTGTGCCAAGGCTACCAGGACGCATGTGATACGTCCTTAGGGATGCCCCGAATGTTCTTGTAGCATCTCCCTTTGCTGTTTAGGAACAGGGTTGGCAAAACACAAGTGTGAACATCAGTGCTGCGAGCTGAGATTTCCTCTTGGAAACGCCCTACAGGTTGCTGTATGGGGCTGAGTGTGTGACTGCAATCACAGGGGCAGGTTGGCAAGCTAAGACACCCAACGAATGCGAGAAGAAAGATCAAGGAGTGCATCTTCCCAGTGTCCTCTGTGATAAACTCTTCTTTCATACAGTGGAAATGAGTGCCTTAGCGGCAAAGTGGCCCTAAATTAGATTTAAGGTTTACTGCTTTTCTTTCATGCATTATTTGTATCTTGGTTCCACTATCTGCTCTTCTTCTGAGAAATGCTCAGTGGGAAATATCAGTTAGCACATTTATCAACCACCTATAAAAGTCATTGGCAAAAAAATACCCTGAAGTTGACATTTCCTAATAACGATGGATATAATCAGTTAAAAAGCAGCGTGAAAACTGTGATTATGATAAATGAAACAGAAAATATGTGAGTTATCATTATAAAACTCTTCCTTACCACTGATAAGCTGTTTAGTGAGAATCGTCATTGCCATTATCACTTTAGCTAAATTTCAGCAAAATAGCACAGCTGAAGGAGAATCTGTTGCTTATTTCAAGATTAGTGTAGACAGTTTGTTAAGGTGCCCAGTAAGTTTCTTCTTCAAACAGGTAGCACACTGTGCTCATGGTCTTCTTTGCAATCAAAATATTTATTTTTTTCAATCAAAATATCTAATTTTCAATCAAAATTTGGTTTTTTGAATCAAAAAGTCAAAGGTGGTTTAGATTTTTGATCAAGTATGGTGTTATCAGCTTTCAGTAGGCGCTGGCTTTGAGGGCTTGAGTTTGCACAGGATGCAACAGGATGTTCTATTCATATGAGTCTCTGCCAATAATTGCTTTATTTTAGGTTTTCTGGAAGGTTTGTAGGTTGTTTTTTTCCCCTTTTCTGCAAGTACTGGAGGCGTAGGTTTTTAAAAGGAAATTTTCAAATTGATTTCAGTCAAGAAGTATGTTCTACTAAAACTATTTCTTATTTAAAGCCCAGCTCTTTCCATGGAGCATCAGACAAAACACACACCTGGCGTAGGGAGCTGGATTACAAGTCATAAAACAGTTTACCCTTGCTCTAACAAAATCCTAGGAAAGGAAATTCTAGGGGATGGTTTAGGATGTCAGTAACACACTTCCCACCGTGGCATGGCTTCAGGGCAGAGCTGATATGATTTTGTGGCTCAGATGCACTTCTATGTTTTCCCTTGTAGTGAAATTGGTAAGAAACTACACAAACAGTACAGCACTCGATACAGAGCACTTCATGAGGAGGATGGAATGGCGAGGGGAGATTGAAGGCTCTGCTTATTTCTTTTCAGTGAAAAGAATAGGCAAAAGGCTGCTGTGCCCTTTATAAATAACTGATTTGTTCCATTATTTTTTCCTGCTCTTCCTGAGCTCTATGAATGAGGCTGTGAGCCCCACAACGCACTGGAGCCAATGTCTCTCTCCCTTTTTTTGTCAGCCTGGAAAAAATGCATTATTTTAACCTTGTGCTTCTCTGTAATGGCCTCAATAATCATTAAAAAATGAGCAGATACTTTCATTATCATTTTTGCACCAGCCTGACTGCAGCTTTGATCTTCTTTGCATGAGTGGCTGGGACCATGGTTCATGACCAAGACGCAGCACTGTAATGAGTGGCTAATTAGGCTCTAATCTTTCACAGCCACTAAGGCAGTGTAACCTTTATTTTACTGCTGCACAGCACCCGTTGATCAGTTGCCTTACTGTAGGGTAACCTTGTTATTAGGTATAATCCACTTCCCAACAGTCCTGCAATGTGGGGCCAACATGGGACTGAAACAGAGGAATTCAGGTGTTCTCCATCAGTGGTAGCCTTTCCTCTCCCTCCTTCAACTGACTCCATCTGCTTCAGGGTCTAAAATACTTGTAGGAAGCACTTTTAGCTGCAGGTAACCTTGGTGAAACATGCTGGACTCTGCTTCTGGGAGCGTTTTGAGAAGATTACCCAAGAAAATTACATGCTCATGGTAACAAGAAATAAGAAGAGAGAAGACAGGCTGTAATATTCTTTTGTACATCATACATGCAGAGAAACAAAATGTAGAGATAACTGTGATGAAATATGCCATGCCGTGGCTGAGAAGTAAGAACTGCATATTCACAGGTTTCAATGGCCCAGGACCAAGGGACAGAGGCAATGAATAAGTTGGCTGTTACGGGCAGCGCTTCTCCTTTTTGTGATGATTTCTGTTATATAGTGTAATAGTTCAGCAAAACCTCCCAGTCTGTGCTCGCTAGTATCTGTTGGACAGACTGGAGAATGCAGCTGCAGCTTAGACATTTGTGGTAGCCCAATTGCCAGCTAATTAGTGCTGCTATTTCAGGAGGAGGCAGGCTTTGCTAAGAGGCAGGGTTTGCTAAGGAAAGAACAACCTGCATATCTAACTAAATGTTAACTGAATGCGGGTAAGGCTATCTCCTGAGCACGAGCGACCACAGCTTCTAGAGGTTCAGAAGCCTCAGGCAGGAGCAGCACATGAGAATCACACATCTCCAAATTGTGGGTGAAGCTCCAGGTAGCTTTTAGGAACGTTGTAATGACCTGTTTAGAACAACTGTATGCCGTCTGCTGATCTGTGTGCCTTTGCATCATCTTGTATGATGGATCACTGGCAATGCAGGCTTTGGCTGAAATGACAGAGTCTAGTTCTGAAACGGTTAATTTCTGCGTGGAGGAAAAGGTATATGTGAAAGAGCATCATGGTTTGCTGGGTAGTAAGAGAAGGACTGAGTTCTGCTCCAGTTCTGTCCTCATCACCCTCTGCTATATATTGCTTCACACCTTGCTGTGGGCCTGTTTGTCCAAGATAATGGAGGAATAGTGTCTGTGACTGCAAAACTTGTGCTTGAACAGTATTTCATTGAGCATTAGAAGTGACTTACCAAAATACTTGTTTTCCTACAGCCTTCAACCACCAAAAACTTTCCAAGTGTAGGAAGAGTTGAAATCTGCTTTAGCTTGATATAGCATCATTTAGAACTAGTGTGATAGGCCTTCACCTTAACTCCTTAATGTTTGTAGAAGATCTCACAGCTCATGTCTCTGTTCTAGTGGTGGAAATGTGAATGTGGGAGCCAATTTGGATGACGTTTGTCTTCAAGTACATGACTGAATTTTAATTCAGTGTACTTGCAGCAGAAGGAAATTGTTGTCTTATGGCCCCTCTGTCAAGCCAAAGAATTGCTTGATTTCTGTACTGAAATCAGACTTCCTCCCCCAGTGCCCATCCCAAATATCTCTGAGATGTTTTGGACAGGTACAACCCTACTTTGCAAAGGAAGAAAGCATAAGGACATTCAACTTCTGCTTTCATAGCCATACCTGCAGGATTTTTAGATTATTCTATTTAATCTGACCTTCTGACAGTGCTTTCTTTAATTGAAGAACTCAAATTCAAAGCTGTTATGGTCAAACTCTCTGTGGCCTGCTCCACCTTGATCCCACTGGGAAGAGAAGTGCCCACTTCAGCTCTGGGGCAGGCAAGACATTGATAATGGGTAATTTTTTATTTCCCCATGTACATATAAACATAGAATCATAGAATCATAGAAACGTTAGGGCTGGAAAGGACCTTAAGATCATCCAGTTCCAATCCCCCTGCCATGGGCAGGGATGCCTCACCCTGGACCATGTCACCCAAGGCTCTGTCCAACCTGGCCTTGAACACTGCCAGGGATGGAGCTTTTACCATGTCTTTGGGCAACCCATTCCAGTGCCTCACAGTAAAGAACTTCTTCCTTATATCTAACCTGAACTTCCCCTGTTCTAATTTTAACCCGTTACCCTTTGTCCTAACGCTACAGACCCTGATGAAGAGGAGATTGGCATCCCATTGTACAACACCTATTATACACACAGCAAGAGAAGAGGCAGGCTTAGAAAAATCATCCACTTTAAACAAAGCAGACAAGAAAAGGTAGCATTATTCTCTCACAGGCCAGGTATCAAGGTGCTGAGAGATTAAAATGATTATCATAAGGCCACAGAGAAAGTGGCCAGGGATTTAATTTGCAGTCCAGTTAAGTAGCACATGAGCAACCAGTGTCTGCTGGTGTAACACCCACTTAAAAAGTTCAACTAAAAGAATCTGCAGACTGTGTTTTTGACATGTTTTAATGTAGTAATGATACTTCAGGTAAAATTGTTCTTTGTTAGAGATTTCTATGGCATATAGAAATGTGTTCATTCACAAAACTCAAACAAACGTTGCAGGGAGACATGTAATGAACGTCAAGCCCTGGACTTCAGAGAAATTTGCATTATTGATGGTCCTTAATTGTATAAAAGCTATATTAACAAGAAAAAAAAGCTCAGAATAATTGTTTTGGTTTGCCTATGTCGTGACTGCTGTTATTAAAAATTAAAAGGACCATTATTTGACTGACCTACTTTAGCCAATAATGCCAATATAAATGCCCAATACTGTCACACCATTGGAAGCTGAAGTCAGTCAGAACTCCTTTGAAAAGCCTCATCCATTGCTGAGGAACTTGGTCATTAAATAATGTCTTTGAAAATACATTTGAGATGCACAGTCCTACAAAAAAGAAGCCATGAATAAAGTGTGCTTAACAGAACACAACAGAATGCGCAGTATTCAGAGTTACCCAGGTAGTGGTTTTGATTCTAAGATAGATTTTTAATGGCATGGAAAACAGTATATTGTAATTGTTCTTGTTGAAATTTCAGTTTTAGGTGCTTAAAATTGCATTTGCTTTCCAGACAGAAAATTCTTTATTTCCTGGAAACTTGAAAATGCTGATAGCAACCAGGCATTTCCACAGGCTCTTTAGAGCCCTAAAAAAGAAGCGAGCTGATGAGGAAAGCTTTTATAAACTCCATTTTTGCTCCTAAATCCATGGAAAGCAAAAATGTTATTCTCAAGATCTCTGGGACGTTTCCAGCACTCCTGGCTGCTGAAGGCAGAGCTCCCACCAAAGCTGATGAAAAACGTTTCCAGTAAAAAAGCCATTGGAACCACTGTATCTCATTATAGTCATTGTCTCATGAGGATGGAAACAGATGAGCATTGAAACACAACTGGGTTATTTCTAAGTCCAGCATGCTCAGACAGATCTGCCCTACTCATATCCTTGGCAACTCCCATGGAGGCCCAGAGGGGCTTTATTGGGAATAATGATGGTAGAGTGAGAATAGGGCATTCAGATTCTAATGAGAGAAGGATTTCTTCCAAGGATTTCAGATATAAAATCTGCTGTGCCACATGAAAAGGCATTTCTAACATGGACAAATTTGATCCTGTGGTCCGCAGAAAATAGTTCAAAGCCTACCAAGGAACTATAGGTTGGGGTTTTGTGGTGTGCGCGCTCATGTGAGTAAGTCTAACCCAAAATGTCAGTGAGACAACCCCAGAAATGTGAGTGTTCATTTTGTTTTCCAGAATAGGCTACCAGATCCCCCTGTTTGCTGGCTTCTGCATCATGTTTGTGTCAACAATCAGTAAGTGTCCACAACTTATTTGGTCTGGTCCAGATGCAGCTTTTAAATGTATGATACATATGATTATCACTTCTTGTTGATGTAGAGAGACTGACTTCCATGTGGATGGTGGTGGTGATGAGATTTGACAAGTGTGCTGTCATGAATGTGCTCTAAGGAATTCACAACCTTCCGTCCCACCTTGACGTGTCTTTTCCTTAGCTGACTTTTCAGGTTCTTAGAATCTGAAGTAGTGCTCAGACAGCTTTAAACAGAGAGCCATGGGAGGGCTATCAGCCATGAGAGGGCTATTTTGAAGGGTCCTTAACGACTAGCTATAGTAGGGGCTTATCAGAAAGATCATGAGGCTGCAGTGGCTCATGAGTACAGTATGAGTCAACAGTATCATAGCGCTGCTGAACATCACTGTGGGATGTGCAAACAGGAGCACAGCCTGCAAGCCAGCTGAGATAATTCGTCTGCTCTAATGGCATTGATAAGGCTTCAGCTGCTGTTTTATGTTTGGTTTTGGCATGGCACTTAAAGCTGTGGCCCAGATAGAAAGAGTACAGAGGAGAACAAGGATCCTTAGAAGCCTGTGAGAGTGGTGAAAGAACCAGGTTTGTTTCCAAACATAGATAAGAGACCTATCAGAGTCCATGACAAAAAGGAAGGGAACAAAGAGTTTTCTATATCCACTGTATATAAGAGAAACTGTATTATCAGGGACTGAAGTGCTGGTCTTAGAGTCACTGACAACTCTGCATTTTAGAAGCACGTTAGACAAATTCTGGTTGGGATGGAGATAAGAGCAGTGAGCCTGGCTCATGGCAAAGGGGAGTACTGTTGATCTGCTTACATCCTTCCTTCTTTCCTTTGTTTTTCTGTGTCCACATGGGTAGAGATTTTGGTAAGACCTGCTGGAAAGCCCTAGGGGCACAGCGCTGCAGGGCGAAGTGCATGTGGATCTGCTGTTTAGTTGGTGCGTAACAGCTTCCCACAGCTCCAACCTATCCAGCAAAATTCCTTAGGTGGCCAACAGATAAGAGCTGCAAAACCTTTAAGACCTCACCGTAGGCTGAATGACACTGAGCATCACACAAGCTCTAACAGGCAGAGTTGTGCTTGGGTTTCTGGAACGCCCCTAATTTCCAGAGTTGTGGATGGGGAATTTAGTGAGACTGATGAGAGCAGCATCCAGGTGATGTGTCCCAGAAGACAGATATTGGCTGAGAGTGGAACCGGGGGTTAAATCAAAGAGAGACAGACAGGCCCTTCCTCTGGTGCAGTTACTCTGATGCTGTGCTGTTGGCAGAATCAGGACCTTGCTGCAGCCCTTGAATGGGTGGAACTGACTTCCTTGCCCCTGCAGCCAGCTGTGCTGCACGACATCTAATGTGGAGCTGGCAACAGCAGGATAAAACCTCTCTCCACCTATTTACCTACGGAAGGAAATGTCGGTGCATGGATGCAGGTGTGTTAAATCTTGCTTTCCCTAAATGCCTGGAGCTTCAGCCTTAAATGTAGCAGCATGGGGAGGCAAGGCTGGAAAGAAAGGTCTTATTACTCCTCTTGTGTATAGCTGAATCAGAGCTGGATGTAATCCAATCCCAAGTAATTAGTTAAAACTGCTTGGGTGCTTGCATTCTGTGTTACCAGGAGGCTTAAACACCTGAGAGCCATTCAACACTGACACTTCTAAATGCAATAAGGGAAAATAATGCAGTTAGCATTGAAAGCAGCACTGTAAACACTTGACTAAATTGTATGAAGTTTTTTGTGGTTGTTTCAAGAAATCTAACTTTTTAACCTAGTTACAGTTAACCTAATTTGAAGAATTTGCCCCTGTTTTTTCCTGTAGTGTTTGCCTTCTCTGGAAGCTACACATTACTGTTTATTGCCAGGTCCCTTCAAGGAGTGGGTTCCTCTTGTTCTTCAGTAGCAGGTAAGAGAAGAGATGATAGAATAAAATGCAAATCACTGATTCTGTCATTTTTTCGGTCACTTTGTGAATTGTATTTTGTCTGCACTTTCAATAATTAATACCAAAATGTTCAATTAAATCAATTCCATGGTTTTTCTGTCCCTTTCATATAAAGTAGCTCTAAAGTAAATGTCTTTTCAGCCTACTTTGGTATTTGGGTTGCAGTAAGGTAGAACACTAAATGAACTGCACTCTCCCTGGGATTTCTGCATCTGTGTCTTCCACATTTTAAATTCATTTTTGGCCATTTTAAAGGTCATTGGGAACTTATGTTGGTATTTGTTATAGGAGGGATAGCAGCTCTGTCTGTTACTGAGATTTCTCTTATGAAAACATTGTTTACAAGGGCTTACCATGCTGTCTGCTGGTTTGGACTCAGTTTACCTGGGCTGGATTTCCAATACAATATATGTTTTAACTGAGCAGGTGAAATGGAGTGCGGGTTCTCAGCCCAAATTATTTAACCCTTCCTGGGACTGAGACTGCAGAAAACACATTTGGGTCGTGTTAGAATATTTTGCACTTTTTTTTTCTGGAAAAATCTCCTATAATGTCAGGAGAAATATGAATTTGGTTTGGGAAGGGAGGTGAATGCAGTGTTCTGTCAGGAACGTGTCTTGGTTTCCTCAGGAAAATCCCCCTTTCCAGGTTGGATTAACCTATAAGCAGGGTTCGCATACACTCCATGGAAACTCAGCAGGAGCTTGACAGCTGGATTCCTGCTAGGTTCTTTTAGAAGGGACTTTGCTCCAGCCCACATTTGGGCAGTGCTGCAGGGGGGATGCAAGACCCCAGGCTGAGCATCCAAACTGGGAGCAAGAAGCACCTGATGTTTAATATGGGCTTGAAGCCACGCAGCAAGCACTAGTTAAGCAAAGAGATTTAAGCCTGGATAAGTAGTGGCAAGAGTAGGGATGTGGCTAAGGGAGCAGGCAGGCGCTGGTATAGGGAGCCAGGGATGGAGAAGGCAGAGCAGCATGAGAGGTAGAGACAAGAAAATCCATCTTTTCTCCTGCGCCAGTTAAGGTTACAAGGCAAACTTTCCAAAGGGAAGACATACCAGAATTAAACATTGTTCAGCTTTAACCCAGTCCCTGTGCAAGTGCACATCTTGAGATACAGCTCATAGACGAGTACATGACATTTTTTCACAGACAACGTAGAAAATAGAGCAGAAAAGGCCAAGAGATCTTCTGGTCCCCCCCCTTCCTGAAGGCAGGATCAGCTCTGTATCTGTGGTTCCTCATGCATACTTGACAGACATGTTCTCAGAAGCCTCCAGAAATGCCCTCAGCATCTAGCTTTGTGCTGGAGTACCTTTACTGTCAGGAAGTTTTTTTGCCTGATGTCTCATCTAAAACCTCCTTACTGTCATGTAAATCTATTTCTGCTTCCTGTACTTGAGAGAACATGAAGAACCCTTTCTTTATCTTTATGGCTCTTTCTCATATTGCAAGATTATTATCACATCAGTTTTCCTCCTCTCCCATTTTCAATTGAAAGTCCTGCAGTTCCCCTCACAGATCTTTCCCTACGCCTTTGCTCACCCTTCCCTTTCTTCCTATGCTGCACCAGACCCAGCACTCGGAAGAAGCTCTGACTCCTTGCAAAGACCAACAGCAGTGATTGTTGCTTCATGTATTTCACAGGCAACGGAGGCTTTCTGTGGTATTGCTGCCAATCAGTTGTTTAGCACCTGAATTTGTGCAGGCAATCATTCCTACCTACATGTAAACCATTGCATTATCTTCTTTGTATTGCCTACTGCTTTCGTTCAGGGTATGTCCCAAAAAGCCACAAATTCATTGTGAATTCTGAGACCGTTCCCTAGCTTGCTCTTCAACTGCTCATGCAAACAGTTTGATGCCATCCACAACTTTGAATAAGGGTGTTAATTCACACAGGACCTCTGCTCTTTTGATGTGCTTCATTTAATGATCAATCGTGCAATAGTTTGTTATCATTTTCTCTAGTCATGGACCTTATTTACTGAGTCTACTTAAACCTTGATTTGAAAACAGAATTGTTAATTTCTATGAGGACCCTTCTGCAGCGTTTATGCTTACAGAGTCTGAGTGTTTTACAAAGCCACAAATGAAATAAGCTTCATGTTTCCTTTGTGAAATGAAGGCTCATCATGAAACGCAGAAGTGAGGCACTTGAAAATAAAGGTCAAAAGAATCCTTTAACTTTGGATGTTGAACTTGAAATACTCATTTTCAGAGCAGTCAGCTCTGCATAATACCCCAGCCCCAGAGCACAGCTGCCACTGACCACGGTTACAGCTGTGAGTGATCACCAGACCTTTGTGTGAAGCACCCAGGGAATGAAGAACAGGGAATACTCGTCACAAGCTTTGTTTCTGCTAGCTGAAAAGCCTCATCTGAAAGCTCTGCAACAAAGGCAAGGACAAAGAATCTAGAAAATCAGAGCATCATTGAATTACCTAATACTGTACAGCAGAACAAGTTCTTGGAGACCGTAAACATTGCCAAATCCCCTTTTACTTCAACGTGATTTCTATGGGGAGGGAATATTTATGTTTTTTATTTGTATATATATATATATATATATATATATACAAATACCTGCTGTTGCCTCTGTACAATATTTAGTAGGGCTGGCAAATGATAACCATAAATTGTAGTATGCAGATGCCTAATTTTGTGTTGTTATTTTTCCTTTTTAGGGATGGGAATGCTTGCCAGTGTATATACAGATGATGAAGAGAGAGGCAATGCGATGGGAATTGCACTAGGAGGCCTTGCTATGGGAGTCTTAGGTCAGTGAGTCGAAGGCTTTGCTGGCAAGAGAAACCACCCCCCAGCCTTCCCAAAGCATGTGCTTGTGACCTATGAAAGCAGCAGAGGGATCTCACTGAGTGTAATGTTATGGTGCTGTCTCCACATTACATCCATGGTGCACGTTACGAAGAGTTTTTCGCACAGCAGCATATTTCTTACGTAGATGCATACAACAGGCAATAATGTCTGAGATGTATGGGGTCTGTTTACATGGAAGAGTGCTTTGGGAGTGAAGAATATGGTTATTGTCATGATCAGTGAGCTTTGTGGGCATTTTTACACTGAGCGCTTTGGTCACTGAACCCCAATAGTAGGATGCCCAACTGCTTGTAGGGGATGTTTGTTCAGAGTTGTGGCTTCACAGCTGTGTCCTTTCTTTCTCCCTGGCAGTGGGTCCACCTTTTGGGAGTGTCATGTACGAGTTTGTGGGGAAGAGTTCTCCTTTCCTGGTGCTGGCAGCACTAGCTCTGTTAGATGGAGGTCAGTAAATACGGAGAGTCAATATCACCATGCAGCACATCCCTTTCATATTACTGTCTAAACCCCTACTGTCTAAACCCCAAGAAATGTTACAGTATTGATTTCTTTTCACAGCTGTTCAATTATTTGTTCTGCAGCCATCCAGAGCACAAGCAGAAGTAAGTATTAAGGTAAAACACTCTAGGCAATGGATGACACTTTGCCTTTCCTAATCCCGAGCTTTTGTTTCATAGAGTCAGAAAGGGACGCCGTTACTGACACTTTTGAAGGACCCGTATATCATTATTGCAGCAGGTACCAGATCCTTTTTGTTTAAACCATTGGTGTTATAACTGGAATGCCTCAGGTTAAGCTGGTTTAACAATACTGTCATTGCTGGCCTCATTTACATCAAGCTCAAAGAACCTGTTGGTAATATAGGATGAATATACTAGTATATGTATACATGTAATAGGCAGAAACCTTAAAATGTAAGTTTATTTCCAGCTGAGAGGACACTAATGACTTGAAGCTGCTTGCCAAGCAATGAGATGTGGCCATGAAACTTCCTATGAGGCAAGTCAATAGGATGAAGGCTTTAGAGGGAGGGTTTTCCAGCATGTCACAGGCAGGCATAGGGAATAACACTGAACTTTTGTTTCCATTTGAAGAGAGGGAGTGGGTTTGGTCTCTAGAGCATGGATTCTATTTCAGAAAAGGTCTGGATTGAATGGGGAATGGCGTTTGGTATTACGTGCATTGTTTGTCTAATAAGTTGTTCTGTCTCAAGGGAAGTTTGCCTTTTTGTGTTGCATTTTGTTGCATGTTTATTCTGAAGTCTGTAATGAAATCTGGCCCTTCTTAATGTTGATAAAACACCTGGAAACAGCTAATTATTTTCACTGTTATGTTTCTTAGGCCTAACCTGCTATCCAACAGCTCTTCCAAGCATTTCTTGGGTTCTCTCTTTCTTGGTGATCTTAGGGAACTGATCTTAATCTTAGGGATATAACCCTAACCCTGTGACTAGACACTTGGCCAAGCTGTGACTGAAGTTATACAAACACTTTTATTTGAGGACTTCTTGGAGCATGAGAAGACCTTTCCATAGAATAGAAGTATTTGAGGGAAAAGAGTAGCAAAGAACAGTACCTGTTGTGAGAGACTGGATCTATCACTCACCTAATCCGGTACCTTGGCTCTTGCAGTGGTTAAAGCAGATGCTGCAAGGTGAGGTTCATCTGACATTATTTTCTAGATACCTAATCCCTGCCAATGTCTAATCTGTGATGGAACTTGGTTTACACCATGAAATATGACAAGGGGACTGATTTTAAAGGGTACTTTGCTTGACTAAGACTTAGCTACTCCTGTCAAGCTTAGCCTTGGCCACGGAAGAGAAAAGGTACCAAGGAACATGAATCCCACTATTTTAACCATGTCCTGTGTATGCTAAGAGCAGGGACAGACTTTGTTCCAATTTTCTAACACATTTACATGGCACTCTATTTCTGCTTCTCTTCTCTTCTCTTCTCTTCTCTTCTCTTCTCTTCTCTTCTCTTCTCTTCTCTTCTCTTCTCTTCTCTTCTCTTCTCTTCTCTTCTCTCTTCTCTTCTCTTCTCTTCTCTTCTCTTCTCTTCTCTTCTCTTCTCTTCTCTCAGTTGTTTCAGCTGTGGCTTCGGGGCTCTCTTAAGCAGGGCTGAGCAGTCTCAGAGCCCCAAAGTGATAAAGAAGACCCAGGGATGGGTAGCCTGGAATCAGGGCAGTGTGTGTCAGAGATTTTACCTTTACTTCCCTGGCTCTTTTTGCCTCTTGCTTCCCTACCCATTCTTGCAGGCATTCCCAGTGCTTCCTGTCTTCCTTTCCCATCTTTGATCCAGTGCAGCTGGACTCAACAGGAGGCAGGGAAAGGATGTACAGAGTATAGAAACATAAAGACTTGCTTTGATCCCTCCTGCTCTGGGTGACCTGTCCTGCTCCTACCAGGCATCAGCTCCTACGACAGGGGAAGGTCCCTCCCATGGGCTATCAGTGGGGTTAGGTGCAGCATCCAGGGCTTCTGCCTTGCAGGATGGAAACTGCCCAGTGCTTTCGCAGTATGGATGATGCTGATGTTCTCTAACCTCAGCCTCTTCTCCTCCTGTTTTATTTCCCTTACAAACCAAATATGATGAACACCAAACACCAACTATAAATTCAGCCTTTTATCTGGCTTATGAGAGGGCATTAATCCAGATGCAGCTTTCTTGATGCTCCAGGAATATACTGCTTAAATGTTAATTGCTTTAGTTCTGAAGCTGCTGCTTTTTAACAGTGAAAAGAGTATGAAAGTTTCATTTGTTCTCTCTTACCCTGAGGAGTTTGGTATTTTCCTTGCTTTATATTCTAAGATGGAAACTCAATCCTGATCCTAACAGGGAAGGATGGGTAGGCAGTTGTTTGGGATGGCAGAGTTAGCTCCGTGCTCTGACACCTTGGGGCAATCAGTTGAGGCACCATGCCACATTTCTTCATATCTAAGCCAGGATAATATGTCTTGTGCTTCACAAGGATGCTGTGAATGTGGATGTCCCACACTGTGTATGATGTTCAGACACAGTGATTAGAGAGAAGAAGGCTGTAAGTCCCACTGGGTTTGTACTGCTCCGGAAGATTAGAGGTTTTGAATGGCTTTTAAGGCAGTTAACTTCCTCATTAAAAATTGACTGCATCTCTAGTGAGCTGACTTGTTAATCGCTGTTAAATACAGGGACACTTTAGGCACACTGCAAACGGACATGGCAGTACCAGTGTTTCTTGCACTCTCGATTTAGGTGCACTAATTTCATGGTACAAATTCAGATTCAATCTCCTGAGCGTGCGTCATGCACTTGAGTCATAATTGTTTGTATTCTCAAAGCACTTTCTGACCAATTTGGCTTATCTGTAGCATGATATTACTCTTGAACACAAGGTGTCTTGAACTGAAGCATGGAGTTCCTCTCTCTTCTTTCTGAAAGTGGAACTTTTTCCCTCTATAAAACCCTTTTTTCTATGAGTTAATACTGTTGACTGTCACAACAGACAGGAGGCCAGTGCTCTCATTCACTCCCTGTATATTGCAGTCCCTATGGCTAGTCCTAATGGCTGGGTACCTTTTATATATAGCTATCGCAAGGCAAAAAACACGTTAGTTGAAACTATGAGATCCAAACCCTAAAGTTGAGACAGATGTCATAGTGAGCACGTGGGATCTTGAGAAGGTGTGTGACAGCTTTGCACTGAGTAATGCTTTCTCACAGGGAAATACCAGTGATGCCTATGTCACTCTGCCAAAAGCTAAGTGGGTTCTCGGCTACAGAGATAGGATCCAGCTGGAAGGTTGCAACTTTGCACCTTCTGGCCCACACAGGACATTTATTCTCATTTAAAGAAGACACGAGGTAGGGTTTATGTCCTTGAGAGATCACCCTTTAAAAAGAGGTCAGCTCCATGCAAGGCAGAGGGAAAGAAAACCCAATATAATCTTCTTTTGGGGAGGCTTTGCTAAGGTAACTTGGCCTTCACTGGACTTTGCTCTGAATTTTCAGGGTACCAGTTCAGGCTCTCACTTTTCTCTTGGGGTACATCCTATAAAGATCTGAAGGACCTTTGCCACCGTATACCTGAGTACTTTGCTAAGCTCAGGCGATGATCCCTGAACTAATGAGATGTTGATGCTGCCCTTGTGTGCACGCACACCTGTATCTCATTTCTCTGTTAAGTTTGTTAAGAGTAGAGCAAGACCTTTGCTATTTAATCCATCTCTGTTGGAATGGCCTTGCTTCTTCTGGCTGTGCTTTGTGTGGCCTGAAATGTGGTTTTCCAGCATCAAGGAAGCTGCTTGAGCATGGCTGATACTGGCTTGGAAGAGGGCAACCCTGAGGTGTTTGACCGCGGCTCCTCACAGGCACTGCATTAGTGGGAGCTTGTACTGGAGTGGAAAGGTTAGCTTTCCTCTTTAGGGTAAAGCAGTGCTGAACTGTTGCTCTTTGCCCTAGGAAGGGAGTGAGCCAAGTTCATTTTGGGAGTTGTGAATACACAGTCTAATGTATTCTGACAGGTTTGAGCAAAGAATGACATCGGTGCTCATTTTGGTTTGAGCTGCATGATGAGAAACTTGTTCCAGGAGAAATAATGTTTCTCTGCCCTCGGAAGAATTTCTCTAAGAAAAGTAAAATCTGGATGGTAAATGACTGTAGGAGTTCAGAAAGTTTTCCTACATTTCAGAGGTTGTATATATTCAGAGGAAAAGTGAGAACACCAGTTTGATGTCACTTGTAGCAGTGACTTCCAAAGCCGTTTTGTAAGGGATTAGCAAAAGGGACATGTCCTGTTGCCCTCCATTAGCCTTTGACTGCCTTGGGTTATTTTGAGTAAGTGGGAAAGACATCTTGAATCCAAAGAAATACCATGGGATTTAATAATCCCTGCGCTAAAGCTGAAGTGCACAACTGAGGATAGATGAACTTGACACAAACCCACTGGAGTCTGGATCTGCAGGCGGTGATGAAGGGCAGAGCTGAGCTGGGGGCAAGACTGAATCAGCACTTCCACCTCTTGTTATCCTTTGCATCTGGGGACTAAAGGTCCAGCGATTCAAAAGAGATTTGGAAGCATTTGAAATTCATAGGGTTGGGCAAGCTCAGCCAAACCCATGTTTTGCTGCATGGATTTACTGGCTGCAGGCAAAAAGGATCTCACCACAGAATTCCTTTTTGTAGGGGATAGACATCTCTGTGGTTGTCTCTTGGTATTTTTAGGATCAAGACCTCCACATCTCGTGATGGTTGTTTTCAGATGAGGGAGGCACGGGGTCAGAGCCGGTGCCTTTTACACAACAGGGCTCTGGTTTTGCCCTAGGAGACTAGATAAAGACCAGAAGACTGTAGTTTTAGCTAATCATTTGTACAACAGCCAGACCTCATGAACTTTCTAAATATCATCAAGCTCACTGCAAACTTTCACATTATGAAAGTAGCTTAACCTTCATTGTATAATTTCTAGGAGAATAGAAATATATGTAAAAGTCTTCAGCGATGTTACCTTCTGTTCTATTTAACACTAACCAATGCACAACAAATAGAACTGTAAAAAGTGCAACGTTTTATGTAAAAGCATCCATTCTTTGCATGGCTTTTTGTTCATAGTCAAATGAAATAATTACTACTATTTTATTTCCCTCTCCTCCTTTCCCTAAGGATCAATCTGCTTTGCAAACATGGCTATTGCTATGCTGGAACCAGCTTTACCCATCTGGATGATGGAGACCATGTGTTCAAAGAAATGGCAGCTTGGTAAAGTAGAGTATATTATTTGCATCTCTATTTTATCTAATGACTGTCTCAGTTCTGGTCCTGTTAATGATGGTTATAAGCTTATATATTATTATATAAGCTTGTATATATTAGCTGTAATTATAAGCTGCAGAGTAGTAATTTTGCTTTTACCAGCTTTTATTTTTCAGTATTATCAGTGTTACAACTGCAAACAGTGGTCTGTAAGAAAAATAGGTAGTGGATCTATGTTATTGCAATAGAGGCTTCTTTGGGAGCCCTAGCAGCACATTTGGCAGTGAACGTTGGCTGGGGTAGCTGCAAGATAGATACCTGTTGAGCCACAGAGGCAGCCCAACAGGGCAAAACTGTGTTTGGGTTGTTTTGGTGGGGGTTTTCCCAGAAGGAATCCATCCTCAGCTCCTATTTTGAATTGCCAGGAGCAGGCAGTCACAGGAATCTGCAGCCGATGCACTCTGTTTGGTGCAGAGCACGCTCATGCCAGCACATACCCCTTCCACGGATGCTTCTGGTAACGTGGTAGAAGGATAGCCTTTACTTGAAAGGTGGCCACCAAGGACATGAGAAGCACTTTCCCTCTAATTTGATGGATTTGATACCCTTTCAGTTGTTACTGAGTCACCCCATTCAACAAAGAGCAATGGGAGTGACCCCACTTGGACCTTATAACCTGTAATGGGGACACAGTCTCAGGAAACCAGGTTGATGTGAACTGGCTTGTTTGGGGGGTGCTTGGCATAGTGTTGGTCCTCTGCATAGATCTGAATGGTGTTTACCTTTTTAATAGTTTGAAGGAAGAGTTCCCATTACAAACACAACATATATCTATGTGATAAAGTTAATGAAGTGTTCTGTGCTGTGGCATTTCAGGAGGGTATTTTTTACTATCAATATATGGCATTTGCAAGGAGAATAAGAATCCTTCTTGAAAATGATGTTCTGCAAGCCTTTGACTAATATCCCTACTCTGTGTGCATGTGGGTGTCCTACACCATATAGAAAGCACAAACCTTAGTTCTAATTAATGCAACTCAGATGTAGGGTGGCTACGGGTAGCACTCGATGTGCTGCTGTGCTATTGAGCATGGTAATGGCTCCACGGTAATACAGCAAAATTAACACACATACTTAGGTATTTTAAACCTCACAAAGAGAAAGATTCTTATCTACCTCCCTCACAAGAGTTTCTTATTACTGGTGCAACGGAAATGAGATTTACAAATCTCTTGGTAGAATAGAGGTTCTTAGAAGGAAAAGATCCATTTTAAATAAAGACTAATTTTACCTCTCGATGATATAAGTAAATTGACTCCATCACACTTTGTCTGATTTGACAGCATTAATTAAAGCTCTTAAACCTTTTAAACTATATCTCTAACTGCAGGGTTCTAAGCAAATTGTTGTCTTATGCAATTTGGAGACCCAGCTGCTTAAGCACGATGTGAAGAAGGTGTAAAGAACCTTGATTTGGTCAATGAATGTTGCTGTGCATAAAGCTCACTTAGAAAATGATGGGTCTGCTTCAGCATCACACAGCTTACCCACCAACCTGCAAGTCGTTGTAGTGTATTTATTTTCTGCCAGCTGTAAAGGTCTACTCCATGTGCCCGTTTGCCACAAACAGATAGCCCCAAGCAGGACTGAAGTAGCTGCGGTTACGCAGGTGAAAATGCTTCCCCAGCGTCGCTTTTGTAACCCATAAGGATTTCAGTCACAGGATATTGCTCTGCTAAAAATGACCTCTTGATTTTTTTTACTTATGAATATCAGAGAGATAAGAAGGAAGATGGATAGGCAGGAAATGAGAAAATCTACGTTGTCTTGGTGAAAGATGAGGAGCATATACACTTTAAGGAAAAGGCTGGATTGTGTACTGTAATATAACGGCTGCTTTCTAAATCTAAATTATCTGAGTGAATGGTGACCAAATAGAAGTTGTTGTGGCATGCACTAATTTGACAGACTGTCCCAGTTCTATTTTTCTTAGGATGATGTGGAATTTAACAGGAAAACCAGAAAAAAAATGCAACACTATGTTATTTCTTCTAAGACTCATGAACCATCCAGCACTGTTCCATAAGGATCCAGCATTAGGCACAAGCACCCTGTTGCTCTGCCCCTTTGAATAGTTGTCATACAATATCTTTTTCTCAAGGGCATCCCCTGCTCTCACACACACACCTCCATCATCCTCCCTAGTGCTCTCCATGCAGCCAGGGCAATGCCACACTGTGCTCTCCGCTAGCACATCTTCCTTTGACACCTCCCCTGTGGCTGGGGTCCCGGCCTGTGACTTAGGTGTCGGGAGAGGATGAATCCTCAGGTACAGACTGTAACTGGCTTTTAAAGCAGAGTTATTTCTGTCCACCACGCCGCCAGCATCTAATCCAGGTACAGTCGCTGCTGTGGAAACCTGAAGGCTAGGAAAAATGCCTGGCTCCAACAGTATTTTCCAAGTGGATGTGGGGAGATGGGAGGGCATCCTCCCATCAGGGTGGATTTATATGGGTGCCATTATCTGTAAGTCCTTGCAGATAACTAGATTCTTTAATTTATGCCAATAACTATTTTAAATTAACTTTCACTGTAGATGCATTGGCTAAATAATGTTAAAACCATGGTTTTGTGGTTTTTTTCACCTTTACATTATTGACATACGTTTGACTTCAATCACTACTCACACCATGGCATTACAAACTCACTTGTAATACAAGGCCTCGTGGCATTCACAGCCATAGAGGGGGACATTACTTGCCAGGCCATAGCAGCAGCTCTGCTGCCCCCCACTCCAGGGAGGGATTCACCCACCCCTGACACTTGTGGGCTTGCTGCATGTGCTGAGCATATGCTCCATAAGCCACACAGCCATGAAAGAGTGGCTTTCCTTGACCTATCCCAAAGCTTATTGCAGTTAGATATAAACTTTCTGCTCTCTGTTATTCCATCCCCTCTCCTATACCAGTTCTTGCAGCTGAGGCTGAAGAACTCTTTTCAAAGGTGTCACGTCGCTCCCACATTTCATAGATGATGCCTTTAGATTTCATGAGAGGGCTGCAACAAACCGGATATTTGATTCTTTGCGCTCTGCACAAAGGCTCTATTGGATGCGATCGGATCAAAATTGCAGTGTCTGGAATTTATTAGTTTCTTCTAACACTTCACTAAAATCCTTGCTGATAAAACATCTCATTCGTATTTTTCAGGTGTTGCTTTTCTTCCAGCTAGTATCTCTTATCTTATTGGGACTAATCTTTTTGGGATACTCGCACACAAAATGGGAAGGTAGGCTTAATTTAAAAACATTAATAATCTTCCAGTCTGTTCCATTTCCAGGGTTTTCCAGGGCAGTTTAGTGATAGGAAATTACTATGCTTTGTTCTGTAGTAACAAAATTGATTTTTGGAACATTTTGTTGCTTTGCTTGTGTAACTTGGCGCTTCAAACATGGCTTTGAAGCATTCAAGATCAGCTCTAACATCTCGGTATCACCGATCTCTAAGTGATGTTTCTTCTTTGATAGGTGGCTTTGTGCTTTACTTGGGATGCTAATCGTGGGAATCAGTATTTTATGTGTAAGTAGACGATCATGTATCTTTCAAACCATCTAAGTAATTGTGTGCTCATCTTCAAATGTGTGCCTTCCCCATGAGATTTTGCTTTATGATATGTTATTAAACAATGTGTAGTTAATAGGTTCCAGATCAGAGTTTCGAGTGCTTTCAAATTTCAATGCTTCAATTCTTTTAAGGAAGAATGGCTCTGAAAGAAGGTGATCTTTTTTCTTTTGAGCTATCACTTAACAGTGTGTGAGGAGTGAGCAGTTATCAGTGTTGCTCCTAATAGTAAGTGTGTCAGTGATTTAATGGCACAGTTGTCTGAAATGGTACCCCAGAGCAAGGACCAAACTCTGACTCTCACATCCACCCTAAGTGTGCCATAACTACTTGGAGAACATACCTTAGAAGAAGAAAACCATCCCATTAGCATGTGCAGTGTGACATAATGAACCGCCTACTTTTCCTTTATAGGTACCATTTGCTAAAAACATTTATGGGCTCATAGCACCAAACTTTGGAGTTGGATTTGCCATTGGTAAGAAAAATTACAATGACTTCTTACAGTCTGGTTTTTGCATAAACTTGATTTTATATGATACTACATGGGAAATTGGTTTTGTTGCTATTGTGATCAGAGATAGTGATGCCTGAGCCGCAGCCCAAACTGGTAGGTAGAGCAAGAAGGATTAAAGGGCAGCTTAAACCAGGCTGCTGTTAAGCTGGATTCTGAAGTGCGCCCAGAATTCCTCCATCAACCTACATAGACCTTTCAAATGAATGTCCAAGAATGTATATATGGTTTTCAGTAATGGAGCCATGCACTGCCCGAAACCCACAGACTTCCCTGGTGTGGAAGAGAATTTATAGAGATATTTTCATAAAAAAAAAAAGGAAAAAAACAGGCTTAAATTTGTGTTCATCAAATAAGAATTCCCAAGCCTTCAAGTGTTATGTGTGAGCTCTGCTTATGCTGGAGCACACAGGCTGGAGGGGACCTGGCTTGGGTTTTAGCGCTTGGCTGGTCAGCAGATTTGCAGTGCCATATGCACATGTCTATGCGTGTCCATACATGTCTATGCATGTACATACATGACCTCAGACACAGTAAAGACCATAAAAACCGTAGATAATACAGTCTACTTTTACACACATCTTTCTGCTTATTTAAGAATAAGCATCTTTTAGTTGCTTTTGCATCCCTTTGTAGCACATAGCTGTCCAAAACATTTAAAAGGGGAAAAAAAAAAAAGGCTGTATTTTCCTGAAGTGTTTTTCCTTCCCTCCTGACCAGGAATGGTGGATTCTTCCATGATGCCAATTATGGGTTACCTTGTAGATCTGCGTCACGTATCAGTCTATGGCAGCGTGTATGCAATAGCTGATGTTGCCTTCTGCATGGGCTTTGCCATAGGTAAGTCCAACCTTTTCCTGCCTATAATGCACAGCTAAGAAGAGGGAATATGCTGTGATGCCAGGTGTGAATCCCAGTGGCATTCACAGGCTTTATGAGCAGGGGTTTTTATATTCTATAAGAAATGAAAGCAGAGGGAATCGTGTTTGGCATCTGTTTTCCTCTGCTGCGATGTCGTGCTCAGCTTCATTAGCTGTAAGAGGCTTGAAGGTCTCAGGCACTAAATACAAATAGGATATCCTTTGGAACAGTTAAAACTAACACCACAGCTGTGCTCTCAATAGTCTGAGAGGGGAATAACTCCCCACTGCCTCCTTGAGCGCATGGTACAAATACCACAAGAGCATCTCTTCCTCAATGAAGCATGAAGCCAGGAAAGGTTTATGTTATAATTACAAGCATGTCTCTACGTTCCTCAAACCAATTTGTAAAGCGGGAGTTTTGTGTATAAAATCACTGTTGCTTAAAGTGACTGCTGCAAATGCTGTGTCTGAGGGATCCTCAGAAAAGGGGTTTTATTTATACAAGGTCCCTCTGCTGGCGGTGCCATTGCAAAGGCCATCGGATTTCCATGGCTCATGACGATTATAGGGATTGTGGATATCCTCTTCGCTCCCCTGTGTTTTTTCCTTCGAAGCCCACCTGCCAAAGAGGAGAAAATGGTAAGTGGAACATGGTTGGGTTTGGTTTTGTTTTACTTTAATGAAAGAAAATAACTTGTATCTTCTTCTTTGCCTCTAACTTCCCCAAAATGGGACCAGCACACTTTATTGTACCCTCATGCATTGTCCTTAGAATGAACTCCCCCTTCTTTTTATGTCCAACATGCATAAAGAAAAGCATTTTATTAGTTACATGTTACAAAGTCCCAAATGAGATTATCACAAACCAGGATCCAGCAGACACTGATCTGCAGCAGCACACACCGTGATGGAGTCAGTATAAAACACACTTTTGTTTTCCTTGAAGTACCAGAATTGTATTGACTGATTTTCTTTTATTCCTTTGTGTACCTTAACCTCTTTCTTTCCATGGTCCTCTACAGTATATTTTGCATCATGTGCTTTCCTCCTCCTTCTTCCTCCATACAGATCACCTGCCCTTACAAACGAATGGCTACTTTTATGTAGGAACCTTTCACTCCTTCCCCAGCCTGTCACTCCCCAGAAAAGATTCCTGCTTTGGTTTTGGCAGCCCTTTTCCTTCATTTCTTTTCCTAATCTCTCCCTTCCTTTCCCATTTCTATAGCTCAATTTGCCCTTTCTTATAATGCCCTTTTGTCTGCTCTCCTACTCACTGGTGCATGACTTGCTGTTCTATAGATTTATACCAGATGAGGTTCAAAAGCCCTTTTACTGCAGGAGGGGATCCATTGCTTTGCTCACTATGTTTCCTATGCTCAGCAAGAAGATGAGAAGCTCCCAAAGGAATTACAAGGCAGTGCAGTCAGGAGGCGGAACAATCCCAGTTCTGATTCCAAGGCTAGAAAAATCCTGGAAAACAAGTGCCAATCTTTCCTGCAACATCTGTCTCCATCTGTAGGTCTAGCCCACCCAGTGCCTCCATCCTTGCACTTGCTGAAGAAGGTTGTTTCGGGCCCAAAATGTAGTTGCTGGTTATACCTGTATAAAAAATGTGATGTTGTATGGCTGCAGCTTTACTATGCAGCACCACATCTTTGCAAGGCGAGAACAGAACCTGCTGTGGATGCTGCTTTTGCTTTGTACCAGCATGAGCAGAACAGAAGGTGGGAAAATGAATTTTCCTGAAGTACTGGTGTACGTGAGGCCAGAGACCTTTTGTTTTGCACATATTTTGACTGCAGAATCCCAGAGATTCCAGTTAATTCCTTGTCATGACCTTTGCAGACTGCACTGATTTTTTCCTTTATTATTTTTACATTGACTCAGGCTGAGGAACAGGAATAAAACAGCTGCTGTCGTCTGCTAGAGATAGGAAGTTTATCGTGCGCTTCCCTTGTCACAGACAGAGCTTCTCTTGTAACATGGTAATCACAGAAGGGACAGGATTTCTCTCCCCCTTGGCTCAAACACCTTCCAGGGTCTGCCCCCACACCATAGCTTTAAGTGCAAAGTGGCACCCGATGTGCCATTTCTTCAGGGTTTGAAGAGTCAAAAGGAAGGACAGTAGGACTCCTCTTGCTCATTCATCCAGCCTTTAATAAATGGAGATTAAGCATATTTAGATTAGTTCTTCCCTGTGAGGGTGCTGAGGCGCTGGCACAGGGTGCCCAGAGAAGCTGTGGCTGCCCCATCCCTGGCAGTGTTCAAGGCCAGGCTGGACAGAGGGGCTTGGAGCAGCCTGGTCTAGTGGAAGGTGTCCCTGCCCGTGGCAGGAGGCTGGAACTGGATGAGCTTACGGTCCCTTCCAACCTGAACTGTGATTCTATGATAGAAGAGGTAAATTACTGTAAGTGGAGAGCAGGTAGATGTATTTCTATTTAATACATGGGCAGAAACAGAAATTTGCTCATAATGTCTTTAGGACCAAGATCCCACCTCACACCAACCTAAGGACTTGATTTATTCAAACCGAAATCAGTTTGGGCTCTACTTTCAGTGAATCCCAGTGGGGTCAACTGCAGCCCTCAGCTGGGTGCTACACAGAAATGCTAATATTCCCACTCTTGTTTTCTTTTAGGCCATACTAATGGATCACAACTGTCCTGTGAAAACAAAAATGTACACACAGAACAACATCCAGTCCTACCCCATAGGTGATGAAGAAGAAGAATATGAAAGTGATGAATAACATGAAAAGCCATATAACATATTTTGGTGTACAAAATGCAGTGTTTCATGTGAAACATCTCATCCAGAAATAGGTTTTATTTGTACTGTCCATTTAATAATGAAATGGTCAAAAAAACCAAAGGTGTATTATTCATCGCCCATGGTTGTAAAGCAGACTGCTAACTGCCTTATGGGGGGGGAACATGCTTTTTATAGAGGATTTGTATAGTGTTAATCTTTATTTTATTTAATTTTATTGAATAGTATATTATATTTTTATTAATTGTGTAGTATAGATCTGTATAAATGTGAATTTTAGCTGGTTTTTAAAGTCAACTCATGTCAACATTTCATATTTTATTTGGAGTCATAAGCTACTGTTGGGAGCTCCGGTCTTTCTTATTGACTGGAAAGGCAGGAAAAAAAAAGCAAAGCTCAAAGAAAACCCATCCTTTGTACCCTTTTAAATCATACCCTTGTAATTACAGTGAGGGGTGAAGGCTGGTATCCAGAGTGTGGACATCGTGATTGCTTTTTTCATCAATTTTAGGTCATAACCTATATATATATATATATATAACCAAACAGGTCATAACCTATATATATATATCCAAACAGACACTTCTTTGCCAATTTAAATGAGCTTTCCCCTAACCATTCATGGAATGTTAAGGAAACCAGTATTTTAAACAGGTGAGTGTACTGCTATCAGTCAGTACTATTGAATGAAGAATTAGTTAATCAGTCATGCAATACAAAGCCCTCAAACCACACACCACCGGGTGAACAAGGAGGTATGAATGTGCACTGTTCCTTTCCCTTAAAGGGAATAAGAACAGCATGAAGACACTTTTTGCATTTCTATCTTTTGAAAGCTTTACTTTGAACATATCGCAACTTTAGTTTAGGCACATCTTAAGTGACTGGTCAAGAAAAGCTGCAGCATCACACTGTTTAGTTTTAGTATGTACCAAGAGTAGGCTTGTAACTTAAGAATTTCAAAAAAAGACCTATTTTACATGCATTTGCATATACATCTGGAAATTCAATATATATTTATGTTCTAAAATGAATTTAAATATCAACTTTGCTAAAAAGAAATGACCAGTTTGTTGCCAGTATCTCTTACCGTTTGGGGACAGCCTAATACAGGCGAAGAACTGTGTCAGGCAGTTCTGAGAAGAACCAGACTTCGAAAGAAAGCATCTTAAACCAGTCCAATGTCCTTATCAACTGTGGTGTATCTTTTCATTTGCAAAACTAAAATCTTTATGTGCCTTCTTTCACGTAATTGCAGATGGTTTATGTACTACAGCATAGATACTATGTTTACATATAGTTTTGTAAAGCACATATACTATCCATGGTCAGAAAATACAGAACACATAGTGGATCAAACTTCAAGTATTGCTTTGTCAATAATTACACATTCAGACTGCATTAAAATAAAGTTATCTGAAAGAAGCTCCTGATCTACTGTAATAAAGTAGAAACAATTAAACAAAGGAAGAATTCCCCTCATGATTTGCCTTATGCATTGTGTTTGACTGTATACTGGGATGGGGGAAAAGCTGACAAATATTTCAGATCTAGTCCATTTGTAACTCAGGACAAGTATTTTCACTCCAGGTCATAAATAGATGCAACTTGTTTAAGTAACCACAACAGCTTCCAAAAATCAATCTGTCATGTGGCTGCTGGGCTGAGATGTGACTTTGGGAAACAGGTAAGCCCAAAACCTGTAGTGGAGGGAATACCCGGCTGTGTTCTTTAAATAAGGGTGAAGATTCTGAGAAAATAACATTAACAGGCTTAAACAGCATGAAAGGCCAAGCATTACGTTCTATGTTGATTTGATAAACCCACTTAGAGCTTGTTGTAGTGGTATATTTTCAACTGCATTCCTTTGAATATATAACAGATGGAAATCCTTCCTTCAAGGCTGAGAGGTGCTTGGAGACAGACATTAATACAGCGCAAACTAAGACTGTCCTATACTGAATACTTCACCTCCACTGAGTAAGTAACAATTGTGCAGATAGAGGAGTATTTAGGTTCAGATTTTAACGTAGATCATTTTGATACAGGATGATCTTCAAGGTCCCTTCTAGCCCAAACTATTCTATGATTCTGTGATACTTTGGCCCAAGAGAAGTTATTTTACTAAACTCTTTTGGTCAACATAAAGTTGTTAATCCATTAAATCTGAAACTAATATAGCAAGTTAGAATTCTAAATTATCATATAACATCTTAATTTCTTTCCCAGCTGATTAACCAATTTACTGCTAAAACTCACAAGTTATTATCTATCTATTAACATTTCTGAAGGACAGGGCAAGGCAGAAGAAATTTTCTTGGACAGTTTCCCCCCATGCAATGTAACTCTAGTTGTAGTCACTACCACCAGTACTGCGTTATCTGTGCAGTGCTTGGAGGTCTTAGAAATCCCCCAATAACCCTAGCATTTTATAAGATCCTCTAGCTCCACAATGAATCAACTGGAATCACTATTTTGAAAGAAACCTAGTATTAAACTCTGTAAAACAAAAATAAACGTGTATTCATATAGAAAGAATGCATAAAAGCCCAATTAATCCACATATCAGCAGTTCTATTTACTGCAAAATGTGAGCTTTCCTTTAAGTAGCGGCTTTAGGTGATAAACTACTGCGATACCAGTATTTAACCAAAAATATTAACACAATGCAAAGTAGTTGATAATTTAGCAAAACTATTTTATTAAAGCTTATTCTCATGATAAAATAATAGCCAACAAAATCGTATTAGGCAGATCTTCTGCAAATGTGTGTAGCTGCCACCTATTCAGATATCATTAAGTCAAGATATTCTTGTTTTCCGTGGTATTCTTTATTTTCAGCTATTTACAGTCAAGCATGAAGCAAGGATTACATCAGGAATGTAGTATTACAATTTTCCCCTTGAGATTCACCACATATTGTAATTAATGCCAGATAGGAATTGTATGTTTTCCTTCTTATCACTAAAATACAACTATTTTGCCCTTTTCCCATTCGGCATATTTAAAAATATTGCACTACGTTTAATTTCTCTCTTACAATCATCATTAGCAGTACTATAAGAGGAAAACTACATCCAGCTTTTCTTACCCACTGCATTACACAAGTCAATCTAAACCCACAGATGTGTTTTTGAAATCGGCATTTGCATTGTTTTCACAGCTCCTTCGTGTGTACCAGGGTTTAAATGAAGTACTTGGATATATATTTGAAAAGCTCTATAGTAGTCCATAAGAGCAAACACTGATGGAGATTAAATGCACATCAGCACCAATCGTAAGCCGCCGAGAAAACTGAGTGGGGAAGTCTTAATATGCATCTCAAGCAAGTATAGGTTAAATAACTTTTAGTCAATAAGGGAAGCTAATTTTGTGAGATTATTTGCTGAAGCTTAATTTCAGAAGTGTGTCACATGCCTGTTTTAGCATGGGTAGTGTTTTCCATACATCAATTAAGTAAGTATCAACTGCCCAGAACTCACAAAGAAGTGCAAGTAGTTGCATGAGTGGAAGTAACGATTTTGTTTAGAAGTCCAAGTATGCTTTGCCATCAGTAAAAACCATTGCTTCTTAGTTTTGCCCATCAGAAAATAAACTGAGAAGCAAATTTAATGGAGAGAAACATTACAGACTGCCTGAAAATTTAAATGAGTTATTTTACCATCGTAGATTTAACACCATTTCCACACAGGCATTTTTTCTTTCTTACCACCATGGTACCAGTGATAACGATACCAGTTCCTAACACGGTACCTAAAATAAAGATGATATTTCACACTGCATTTCTATACACAGAAGATGAAACAAAGACAGGAAATAAATAAGAACAATGGCCTTAGCTAAGATGCTAAGATCCACAGTTTACACATAGCACAAGACCAGATAGATCTTTTCAAAAGCAGCTGACTGACATTTGTTGTCATCTCTACTGGACGCACGTATTTGGACTCAAATAAAACATTATATACACTATAAGACATTTTTCTGACAAAGGTCATCCTTCTGCTCAGACTGTCTCTTCTGTCTGAGAAGCTGAATGCCAATGACCACTATGACGATACTCAAAAGTGTTGAGAGAACATCTTTAGCTATTTTGTGAAGTATTTTGTACCTTAAGCTTCCCAAAAATGATAGTCTGCAGCAAAATATTTTGGTTTTAAATCACTTAAACTGTCATCACATTCTTTTTCATAGAATGCTATGAAACCTCCAACTCTTGTCAAGAACAGTTTTCCTTTAGCAGCTTATCTGACAGTACAACACTACTTAAACACGTAATTTTGTTCTGCAAGGCAACCAAACCAGCCTCTTATCTCAAAGATATTCCCAATTAAATTATTCCGAGATACTGGTATGTACTTTGATATCTAGCAGTACAATCAGGATACAATAGCCCAAAGTTCTAAGGAGGATTAGCATTACTATATTTCATATTAATTAAAAACTATGAAAAGTTCTTGTGTTTAACAAAAATATGGAAAACAAACGATATGCAACAGTAACATCAGTAAATACTAATAACAGATAAAATGAAAGACCCTTTGTTTGCTTTCATGACATGTTTGGCAAAAAAAATACACAACTCTTTAGTAGACAGACATACAATAAAACTGTGATCAACATTTTAAAGCCTGGTCCCTCAGTGACTTCTGTGCTAGTCATCAGCTTAGGCATGCAACAAGCTTGTATTTTTGAATCATACAAGGGAAACTCAACGTATTGAAAATCCTGCCAGTTTCCTGCTGAAAACACTGGCTCAAAACAAAAAGGGGGGAGGGTGGGAGGGTAGACAGGGCAAGTAATCCATTAAGGACACCATACACCTTCATGTGAAATGGTAAGGTTCGTAATTAGAAAAAATAAAAATAAGTTATTAAAAATAAATTTCCAATAGAAACCCCACAATGTAATTGTACCCAGCCAGTGTAATAAAAATGATGGTGCTGTAGCTGGAGAAGACCCATTATTAGCTGTACTCTTACACAGGCAAGTAACTGTGGAGAAGCAGGACACGTACATCATATCAGTGTTTTCATTTCCTTTGTGTGTGTTTGTAAATGAAGTGCAAAGTATTCTTTTAGTCCATTCCTTCTCAGGATAAATATGCAAATATCAGTCTACTGATTCAGGCGGATCAACTGATTCTTCTGATATAATGTTGATTGTTGGGGCCTCCATCAGACTGACATCTTCATTATCCATTTCTTCTGCTACACTGGGCTCCTCTGAATCTTTAGTCACGGCTTTGGACTGCCGGTCTAAGGACATGCTCTCCAAAAACTCTATATCCTCAATGCCTGCTCTGTAGTGGATCATCAGCAGTGTCAGGGCCTGCAGTCTTTCACCTGACTTAGCCAGTGCAGCAGAAATCAGGGCTTTTTTCCTTGCATCCGTTGTCTCTTTTTCTTCTTTAACAAGGGAGTTGTTATTTTCCAGCTCCTGGTCTATTTCATTCTGCAGCTTATCCAACATAAATTCTAGTTTCTGGGAACGCTCCTCTGTGGGTAAACTTC